GCCAACTCCTCAATTGGGTAGCCTCTGTATCGAAGGATCCCCTGATCCCCGTCAATATAGGAAATTGATGAGCGTACAGGAGCTGTGTTCAAATAGCCAGGGTCATACATCTTGAGACCCTTGTCATCCTTACCGGTCGTTATCTATAAAAACAAAAATCAACCCAAAATGCCCAGAATTGGAATATATAAATTCAGATCAGAGAAATCAAAAGCGAGGGTAAATACAGACCTTCTTCAAGTCAACCGCTTTAACGGTGCCTTCTGCGGAGACGGGGACCTGGTACTTCTTCCCAGTGCGTTCGTCGATGATGGTCAAGGAACCGCCAAGGGAGGCGGCGGTCTGAGCAGAGACGCACCATGGCTCAATGATGGGCGGAGAAGAGAGGTCGGAGGGTGGCGGTGCTGCCAGGTGAGCAGCGAGTATGGCCAAACGGGCCTTCACCTTAACGCCGACCTCACTGTTTGACATTCTTAGAATGGATTTGGATGGAAATGAAAACAAAGTTTGTTTTTGGCTTCTCTACTGACTTATTGATAATATGGCTTTTGCTTTTGGGATTTTCCTTCCATCTTTCAGATTAGATTGGGTTTTTATAATCAGAAATGTTGACTTAAATTACCAAATTATCTTTAATAAAACCTTTCAAATTGCTAATTTTTTTTATAAAGATTATGGTTAATAAATTAATATTATTAAATGTTAACAATTAAAAATTAAATCTTCAGATCTGATAAATAGCTCACTTGCCTCAATAAAAAGCCCACTTCTTCGATGAAACGCGTGGCTATCAGTATGTTCGGTGGAATTCTTCAAATTGCTAATTCATCAATAATGTTTTTGGTAATTTCAATATTTATACAAAACGTTTTTTTATGTTTCGTCATATATATCTTACTTTCCATATCACATGATGTTTTGAGATGGCCAGGGACAATGGGCATCGTCATGTTATGCCATGCCTTGTTAACGGTGTTGTTCTGTTATGTGGATTGTGTATGTTCAAATTGTAAATTTTTAATAATAATTGATAATGATTGATCTATCTAGTACAGAAATAGCAAAACGAGTCCCTTAGTATAGCAAAATGAAAAAAGAAAAAAAGAAAAAGGTGTATCAAATAATTTGGCAGGTATACGTATTAGGTATTGCAATGGTAATGACAAAGAATTTTGTTGCAAAAAATTTGTCATGTTACCTCTTAAGCTCCTTTTGCTATGGATATGAATTTTTTTAATAAAACATTTTATTATTTGAAAAGTCGCATTAAAATCTAGTAAATTTAAAATCAAGTTCAATTAAACTATATTAAAAAAAAAACCTCTTCTAATATTTATCATTTTATTTATAAAATTCAAACACAAAATTTTATTTAAAAAAAAAACAAACCCTTTCTACTCAAAATTAACACTGCATCACAATGGACCGATTTTCATTTAAAGACTAAGCGCGCTGCAAGCTTGAAAATAATGGGCCTGAAGTAAATTTGTTCTGTTTAAAAGTAGGCCTGGTTAATTGGGCCTAGGAATAATAATAAGAATTGTTTAAATGGACTTTAAATCATGGCCTTAGTCCGTCGGCTATTTAGTGTTGTTCCGGCCTTTGTTCTCTTGCTGTGTGTTTTAGTTTTCTTTAAATTTTATTTCAACTTTACCATTGATTTGTGTTATATTGAACAATGAATACACTAAAATACATTTAAAAGGGAAACCCATACTTTCCAAATACCAAACGGACCCTAAGTCGGTCTTTCCTTTCCTTTTCTGTAAATCAACTCACCTCATCTCCTCTTTCAATTTTCATCTTCTACTTCTACTTCTCACTTTCCTTTAATTTAGGAAAATCCAACTGGAATCAATGGTCCAAGAGGCCAAGAGAAATGAAATGCATTCCCTCAACTTTTTCGACAGTTTTGTTCCAATAGAAACCTTGCTTCACAATATACTTAAATTGAGGGGAATAGAAAGAAAACTTTTTTCTCTATTTAATTATCAAAAGATTTGAAGGGACAAGAGCAAGAAAAACCTTTTGCTTTCATTGATATATATCTTTTTATTCTCCTCTTCTCTCTTTTATTTTCCTCAAACCAAACATGCCGTAGAAGTTTGAGGTAATTAATAGATATAAATGAAATCCGCATGAGACTCGATTGCTTGGAGCAATGTAAGCTTTATTAGAAACGGGGACAAGATTTCTATCCCTCACCATCAAACCAGCAGCAATATAAATCTTAAGCAAGAAAAGTGCATACCGGACATAGAAACACGCCAAATTTATTGTTCGGATAAATAGGAACAAATGTTATAGACACAAAGATAAAAGGGGTCATACATTTTACAAGGCACCATCAGCTTCCTTTCTGATTGACATCAAAGGAAAAATTCAACTATGGACGAAAGGCCTGAACTTCTTAACTAACGAAATCTATTAGAAAGAATATACCTCCAAGGGATTCCTTGAAAGGAAAAAACTATTAGTCAAAGCAGAGCATTGTCAACAAGCACTATTTCTCTAGCCCAAGCAACTTACTGTTTAGCAGTTGAGCTTCTGTATCCCCCAAACCATGGAAGATAGATCATTCAAGACAAATATTGAGTTATTGGAACAACCGAAGAAAATTGTTTGCATATTCCATTGGCTTGACATCGGGATGAGGCTGTCATTCACAAACAATAAGGCATTGTTACAGAGTGTTATGATGTGCAATTTGAAAGTTTAAAAAAGGATATCACAATGCAAAGGTACTCACCACCGCCGGGAAGGTAACAATGTTTGGCTTCAAATCAGGAGTTTCAAAACGATTGAAAGCACCCTTCTTGCCCATTTGCAGAAACAGATTGCAGAACCATGTTAACAAGTTATCTATAGAATCATAATAACAAATGTAGTAACTAGCGAAGTAATGAATAACCAACAATTTTTGTTATTTTTGCCTTTCTTCCTCCCTAAAATTAAAACCTCAAAACTTGTCTAATTCATTACTGCTATAAAACCAAAGTTTTGAAATTCTATTCTGTTTAACATACATATGTGATTGGT